AAGAGAGAGAGACAGAAAGATAGAAAGCGAGAAATCACCCCCCAGGGGGATGACCATGCTGCAATCCCTTCTCCTCCACTCCCCTCTTGGGATCTTAGGCACGCATGCACACATGCATGGTGTGAGTTTAAACCACCAGGTCTGGGACTAGACCTGCAGTTGACTACATGGGAGTCCAGCAACATAGCCATTACACCAACTGCTTGTCCCTCAATCATGCAGACTCTAGTTTCCCTAACCACCAGGCCACGGGACTGGCTCTCTTGGGCTATTTTTCCCCCTAAGTTCTTTTTTTAGAGGTTTTTGCTACAAGGCAATGTGCGCTCACTGGAGAGACAGAGTCAGAAAGTGAGATGTCACTCCCTAGGGTGGATGGCCATGCTACAGTCCCTTCTCCGTTCTGCTCTCAGGACTTTGGGCACACACACACACATGCACCTGGTGTGAGTTTCAAGCCACAGGGTCTGGGACTCGAACTGCGGTCAACTACTTGGTAGTCCAGCGACATAACCATATACCATCTGCTGGTCCCATCTTTTTTCTTTCTTTTTTTAATTTGCCAGAGAGCATGTGTACTCATCAGGGAGAGACAGGAAAAGTGAGAAGGCACTCTCCATGGGGCATGGTCATCCCTGTTTCTCCCGCCTTTCAGGCTTTTGGGCCTAAACATGAGAAACATTTCCAGCATCTTTCTCAAGCTTCTGGGTCTGGGTCCCAAGTTGTGAGGTTGGCCATATGGGTTTGAGTTGACCCTCTGGCTTTTTTTTTTTTTTTAATGTATTCATTGTCTTTATTTTATTTTATTTTTTTGAAGTTGACCAGAGAGAGACAGAGAAAGAGAAGGAAAGTGAGAAAGCAAACTGCCAGTTCTGGGATTTGAATCACAGTCAGCCATGTGGGAGTCCAGCCTCCTTAACCTCCATGCCACTTGTCAGTCCCACCTCTAGCTTTTTTAAAGTCAACACTGAATCAAGGGTAAGTAGAAAATGTTGACTGAATATGAGGCTAAAATAATTTTAATATCATGCACACTAGCATTAGGTAGACATATTGTCCTAATTTCTTTTTAGTATTTTTCATTTTTTGCAAAATAAAGCTTTATGTATGCATAACTTAAAGTCAAATAAAAGTAGAAAGACTTGTAAGAAAAAAAATCAGTGTCACAAAAACGTGAAGCAGCTGTCCTGCAGTTCTTTTTCCCTCATCATGTGTGCTTACTTGCAATTTCAACAATGGACATACATGCCAAAGGAGATGCAGGACCTAGTCAACATGTACAAATGGGTGTCATGAGAGTAAATATGGATTGGGTCCTGAAGATGGTGGACCAAAAACAGTTTAAAATAGACAACAATATATATTTAGTCTTATCCTTGTGTTAGGTTAACCTCCCACCCTCTATCATAATATAGTCCAAAGAGATCTAGACCATCTAAATATACCACAGAATGTCACACTGACCTACTACCTTGATGGTGTGCTAATTAGGTTAGATAAACAATAAGTAGCTAGATTATTCACCAGAGGATGAGAAGTAATCCTTCAATAAGACCTAATGATCCATTTCATAACTGAAATTTCTAAGGCCCAGTGGTCTGCTTGAGTGCAAAAATATTTCCTTCACAATGAAGAAAATTACAGCATCTTACTCATTTTGCTGAAATTATTCTTCTGCCTAAAAAGCACACCAAGCCTCATAGCCTCTGTGGAAATTCAGAATTTGAGAATACTTCTGCTCTGACTCATAAACTGGATAACATAGAAGGCTCTAGTTTTCAGTGGTATCCAGAGCATGTGAAGACTAAGGAGATACAGGCTATGGTAAAATTAGCCCTGTTGCATGGGCCATTCAATCCAAAAGATTCTGTAGTAAAAGAATATATGGGATAAAACAATTACAGAAATTATAGCAAGTTCCAATGGGAGAACCACAAGGCAGAACCCTAGTGTCCTAGAGCAAGAACAGACCAGGCCATCTGCAGCAGAGAACCATGGATCTCAAAAATCAGCTCCATGCATGTTGATGGGCCTTGGCAGGAACTGAACATCGCATGGACGTTAAGTGACCACATAGCCAGAGTTGGCCATCATGAGCTGGGTTTTGTCATACCTACCAAATTAACTCATCTCACCTGGAATTGATGACAGCCAGGGCCAGAGGAAATAAGGGGCACAGGCATGTGGTGAAACTTCCCCCACCTTGTATCTGTAACTCTATTACTGTCTGTCCCTTAGCTCACAAATATGGTCACTCAGATGGTTCTTATGTCTAGCTGACAGGGTAGAAAAAAGCACAAGCTAGGTTGACTGATGAATTTTCTTGCAAAAAATCAAAACGTACTGCTGCTACCCTACAGCCCCACTCATGAATGACCCAAAAGACAGCAGTGAGAGGCCAGCAGGTGGCATGGAGATTAAGGTGCTGGATCCCACATGCCTGGCTACACAGTTTGAGTCCTGGACCGACTGCTTGAAAATCATGCTAGGTATGTGTGCACGTGTGCCCTGAATCCTAAAGGAGACTGGAGGAGAAGGGATTGTGGCATGGCCATTCTCGGGTCAGAGGGTTGGGGATGATTTCTTACTTTCTCTTTCTCTGGTAAATGCACGTGCCCTATAGCAAAAACAAAATAACAAAACAAAAGACATCAGTGAGAGGAAACCTCCTAAAAGGCAGAATGTAGGGCAGTATTCTTGGTCATTGACTTCATGTGGAAAGAGAATAGCTGAAGTGAGAACACGTGACAAAGTGGCAAATGGGTTGGCTAGTTGATTAGTGTTGAAAGACTGGAATATCAGGAATAAGACTTCTATCTTGAAGCTTTTATTCTAATCATTTGGGTGTAGATGTGAAATGAGAAATTGTCAGAAGCCTAGACTACAGGATTCCATCCTGAGGAAGGGTTCTAAACCTCCCATCTGTCAGTGGGATGTTATATCCATCTCTTGGCTCTCTGCTTTGTTAGATGTTTTTAATTTAGTATTACCTGTACTTTTCCTCTGGGCAGCATATTAGTCCTTAGATTATACTTGACCATTACTCTAGATTAACATATTTGAATTTATTCATTTATATTCTAATATACATTGATCTTATTTAATAATAATCTCATATAACAATCCAAACTAATAAACTATCTTCACAGTACTCTTGAGCCATAAATTGAGTCATTACAAAGTGTTGAGTGTAGTAACATAGGGGTTCCAATGAATATTCCTAAAATTTGTTTATTACATACCATACCAAGTACTAAAAATACATTTTTGGGACCAGCAGATGGCGTAACAGCTACATCGCTGGACTCCCATGTAGTCCACCGCGGTTTGAGTCCCAAACCGGCGGCTTAAATAGAGGAGAATGGAGGAGAAGGGATTGCGAAGTGGCCATCTCCCCTGGAAGATGATTTCTAGCTTTCTATCTCTGTCTTTCTGGTGAGTTCACACGCCCCATAGAAAAACAAAAACAAAACACATTTTAAATTTTTGTGGAAAGCATGAGAAATCACAGAGAATCAAGATTCTGGTTTGGACTATTAGCTTTAGATTACTAGTCACTCACCTACTGTCTGATTTGGAAATATATCTAAGCATCAGTTTCCTGCTCAGTAAAAACTAATAACACCTACCAAAATAGGGCTCATGGAAAGATTTAAGTAAAATGTAGAAACTCTAGCACAGTGCCTAGCACACAGCATTAGACAGATGGCGATTATTAGCCAGGGATGAAATGAGGCTGCAGAAAACACTTTGGGTGGGATTCCATACTTCTATTACACATACCTCCAAAGGGATTTTGGAGGACTTTGAATAGTGACTATCTTTCTCCGCGGAGGGGGAGAGATCCCAACTGATGGAGGTCCACGCACATAGAACCCCTACATAAACGACTGCAGATTGTACTTTGGGCTAGGAGCCCAAGTAAGCCAGGCTTCTTGAGTTCCACTTTATCTCCCTTAATGTAATACAGATGAGTCTATCGTGCAGACTCTGACCTAACTTATGCTCTCATTTGCTGGTGAATAAACAGAAAGGTAGGTCACACCAATTACCATGGACAGACAAGTGTGAGAAAAGAAAACCTCACCCGCCTTAAGGAAGGGACTGTCCAGGTATGCTTGCTTACCTCAAAGATGACGAGAAATCTGACAAAGGCCTGGATTCCCGCCCTGAAGTCAGTCTCCCTTGCCATTAGTAAAAAAGTGTCCAACTGGGTGGAAAGGAGGAAGGGTGATGTGCAAAGGGAGGGGAGGGGTTTTCCTTGGCGGTGCCTACACCTTGCCCAGTTCCACGTACGAACGCTGCTCCCCAAACGCGCCCAGCGAAGCCTCCACTGGCACCCCGGGCGGCACCGTAGGTGTTTCTGGTGGAACGTCTGCCACCTCTCAGACCCGGCCTCCAGGTCGGGAGTGAGTGGGGTGGAGCGGGGTGGTGCTGAAGGGCAGCGTCCTCTGGCTTTTCCTCCAAGCAGCTCTGAGCCATGTTCATAGAACGTTTAATGCGCTAATAAAACAGCTAAGAAGTCCCGCCCGCGGAATCAGGCAGTCTTTCTATAGCCGACGCCAGGCGGGCGAGGAAGCGGTGCCAAGCCAGCCACAGCCGCGCGTCAGTGGAGGTGGCGGGAACCATGGCAACGCCGTGAGTGGTTTTGCCCCACCGTGCGTGATGACGCCACGGGGAGCGCCGAATTATGACGCAAGCAGCGACGCGAGTTCCGGGGTCTCGCGTGACCGCGGGCGCAGCCTCGGGGCCTCGCAACAGCAGCAACGGCAGAGGCAGGCGGGCGAGGTCAAGATGGTGGCTCCGCGGGTGGGGGAGGCGGTGGAGGGAGGAGGAGCCAAATCATAGCCGGCCGGAAACACCGACGCCCAGAGACCTC